TAACACCCCAACCCGTATCTGACCTGGATACGAATCAGAGGTGTCACATTAACTTTTCAAAACTTTGACTCTTGAATGGTAATTGAAAATTTAATCATTTATTTGTATTAAAGTGGTGAAACCCTTAAATTTAAGTAAATATTGAAAACTCACTATCATATTGGAAATTTAATACTTAATAATTTACATAAATACAACACAATATGTTTACAAAATGGATCAGAGCATTACAATTTAAAACTCGGTAATACATGCCAACAAAATCACCAAAATAATAATAAGAACCTACATTTCAAATTGTTTTGATCTGATCTTCTATCGGAGTATGTTGTCCTCCTCTAGCCTTAATCCTCGTCTTTCTTTAAACCTACGTGTGAAACATTCACACGCTAAGTCGTTGACTTAGTAAGGTAATAATGATCATAAAAGAAAACATTTAAAATACATTTCTCATTCAATTCATTAAAACATTTCATACTGAAATCATGATATATTTTATGATAAAACATAGAAGGTTACTCATTGTTAAATTTGTATCCTTTTATTAATTTTGCCCAATGCATAATACTGAGAACTCAAGTTATTAGAGTACATTGAGGTTGTGCACTAATGCAGTCACCACTGCTCATATAAATTGCACCGAAGTACCACTTAGAATTTTTTCCGAAGGACCGCGTAGAATTTGTATCGAAGGACCACGTAGAAATGTCCCAAAGGACCACATAGATTTGTCCTGAAGGACCGCGTAGAACCCTCGACTCTTGGATTGCCAATTATACCTCTAATTCTCATACATATACCTTGGGCTTTAACTGTATAATTATTTTTCTTTTTATTATTTTAAGTGTGTCTTATTCGCATAGAATAAATTCACATAGGCACTTTCACATATAACATTTTTCTTTAGCACATTTCCTAATAGAAGAATATCATATAAAACATAATCATATACATAAAGATCAAAATAATGCTTTGAAAATACACTTGAGATAAACATAATAAAATCTTGTATAAAATAAATAAACAGTTTTCGATCGAAAACTTCGAGGTTGGCTTATCGCAAGCCGTCCACAAATCCAATATAAAACAATTTAGTTGCACTCATCTTTGCCTCACGTAAATTCTAAACGAATCTCTTTTAGTTTTCGCTAAATCTCTTTGCTTTATCGCTTTGATAGATACGCTTCTGATCCAAATCTACACGTAGATATATCCAATATCAATACCAACTTTACATTAATGAATAACCAATTAGCATTTACAAAAACAAAACTAAAACTCTCACTTAAATTTCAGACACAATAGTATCGATACCCCTCCTACAATATCGATACTTCTCTTCTGTGGTACCGATATCCCCTTCAGTATCGATACCATTTTGGCATTCTGGAATTTCATACTTAATAATAGTACTGATACTTTACTCTTGGTATCGATACCCACTTCAGTATCGATACTAATTCAATCAGTACCAATATTGTTCATCATAATCAACTTATTTCCTTCGATTTAACATTATAGTGTCAATACTGCTCTTCCAATACCGATACCCTTGCCCATATTTCATTTAGTTTACTTCAATTTTTTAACCAAATTCACCTAAATCTCTCACTTTTATCTTCATTCATGCCTTTAGAATTAACTACACTTATCAAAACAAACTTTATCAATTTAACACTCCTAAACATCCAAAATCCCACTAGAACACTTGAAACTAAAAATCATACCAATTATTCAACATATCCCAAATCCTTTTCCTACACCTTAATCTTCTTATTCTAACTTATGACAAGTCAAATATAATTTCAAAATCCATTTACTAATCATTTCTCATCAATTCTCTCAAAACCCCTCTTTACTCAATCACCAATAACTTATCAATCTTTTAAATTATACTTCTGTTTAAGCTTTCTCAAGCTTCGATAATACCCCAAGAATCAAAAATCATATAAAATTACAAGAAATAACTAACTTAAAGATTTCTTACCTTAGCCAAGAAGCTCACTGTGGAAATGAGGGAGAAAAGATGAAGAGAGAATTCTAGACTTTCTTTTTTTTCTTCACATATATATAATACATTAAGAATGAATTTTAAATTCATTTCTTGTCTAAAGACCATTATGCCTTTCCATCTTTCAATCTTTTCTAATCAATCCTATACAAAAAAATTCCAATTAACTCCCTGAACCTTTCAATTTATCAAAACTAATCACAAAGTTTTAAAATCTTACACTTTAGTCACTAGCCTGATGTTTGGGGTGTTACAAATCTCCCCTTAAGAAAACTCGTCCTCAAATTTTCTCTGCACAAAGAAGTGAGGAAATTGTCTATACATATCATCCTCATGCTCCCATGTTGCTTCCTCTACTTTGTGTTTCCTCCATAAAACTTTGACTAACAAAATTTTATGGTTCCTAAGTTCCTTAACTTCATGACCTAAAATTTTCACTGTTCTTCTTCATAAGTCAAATCTGGTTGAATTTCAATCTCTTCTAGTGTAATGATATGAGAAGGATCAGATCAATATCTTCTAAGCATGGAAACATGGAAAACATTATGAATCTTTTCCATTTCCAGTGGCAAAGCTAAGTGATATGCTACTGGTCCCACTCTCTTAACAATCTCATATGGGCTAATGAATCTAGGGATAAGTTTTCCTTTCTGGCCAAAACGTAACACTTTCTTCCAATGAGAGACTTTAAAAAATACTTTATCTCCAATTTTGAACTCGTTCTCTTTTCTCTTTATATCAGCATATGACTTCTGTCTATCAGCTGCCACCTTGATATTATGCTGAATAACTTGAACATTTTCTTCTAACTCCTTAATCAAGTCAGGACCAAGAACGTCCCTATCCATAAGCTTGTACCAATTCAGTTGTGTATGAAACTTTCTCCTGTATAAAGCTTAATAGGGAGCCATCTTAATGCTCGACTAGTAGCAGTTGTTGTAGGAAAATTATGCAAGAGAAAAATACTTCTCCCAAGATCCTTTAAACTTGATAACACGTGCCCTTAGTATATCTTCCAGGATTTCGATAGTCCACTCAGATTGTCCATCTGTCTAAGGGTGAAAAGTTTTACTAAAGTTCAACTGAGTCCTCTCTAAAGCTCCATGTAAAGTCTTTTAAAATTTTGAAGTAAATCGTGGTTCTCGGTCAGATACTATCGAAGCAGGCACACCATGAAGTCAAACAATCTCTTTGATATACAATTTAGCATACTTGTCCATAGAGAAATCAGCTCGGATGGGAATGAAATGTGTTGTCTTAGTCAATCGGTCAACTATCACCCAAATTGAGTCTCTTTTTTTCTAGGTGAAGGGTAACCCTATTATAAAGTCCATCGTAACATTCTCTCATTTCCACTGAGGAATGGAGATTGGTAGCAGCAATCCCGAAGGAACCTGATGTTTAGCTTTTACTTAATGACGCATCAAACACTTGGACACAAATTTTGTGATCCTTCTTTTCATTCATGGCCACCAATAACACCTTTTAGATCCATATACATCTTGCTTCTGCCTGGGTGCATAGTAAACAAACTATAATGAGCTTCTGACAACATGTCATTTTTCAACTCCTCATTATCTGGAATAGCAAGCCTCTCACAACAATACAGATTGCCATCGAGCTTAACTTCAAATTCCTTATTCTCTTCATTTTTCACTTACTCCATTCTTTTCAAATACTTATCATCTTTACCTCGTAAATCTTTAATTCGATCCAGTAACGTCAGCTTAAGCTTTAACTTCATAAGTAATATACCATCTCCATTTATTAACAATCTTGCATCTAATGCTCACAAAGCTGAGAACGTCTTCTGAATCAGAGCATCAGCTACCACATTTGTTTTCCCGGGGTGAAAATCAATTACCACATCATAATCCTTGAAAAGCTCAATCCATCTTCGTTGTCTCAAGTTTAGCTCTTTTTGAGTCATTAAATACTTCAAACACTTATGATCCGTATAGATGTAGCAATGCTCACCATATAAGTAGTGACACCATATCTTCAGAGCAAACACTACTGTAGCCATCTCTAAGTAATGCGTCAAATAGTTTTTCTCATACGATTTTAATTACCTCGATGCATATGCCACCACTTTACCTTCTTGTATCAATACACATCCCAAGACATTATAGGATGTGTCATTGTAAACCACATAATCCTTGTCAAATTCTGGTTGGACCAATACCGGATCTTCCGTCATAATTTGCTTCAACTCTTCAAAACTCTTTTGACATTCAAGTCCAAGCAAAAGACACATATTTCCTTAGAACCTTAGTCAATGGAAAAGATATCATCGAGAACTTCTTAACGAACCTTCGATAATAACCTGCAAGACCTAGGAAAATTTGAACTTCTAACACATTCTTTGGAATTTCCCAATCTAATATATCTTTTATCTTCAGAGGATCTACCCGAATCCCCTTTACCGATATTACATGTCCAAGGAATGCTACTTCAGTTAACCAAAACTCACACATAGACAATTTAGCATAATGTTTCTTGTCTCAAAGTGTTTGAAGAATCACTCTAAGGTTTACGTCATGTTCTTCATTTGTCTTTGAATACACCAAGATATCATCAATAAAATCGACCACGAACTGATCAAGATAGGGCTGAAACACTCTATTCATGAGGTCCATAAATGAGGCAAGTGTATTAGTTAACCCAAACGGAATAACTATGAATTCATAATGATCATATATAGTCCTAAAAGCCATATTTGAAATGTCCTTCTCTTGAAAATTCAACTGATGATACCCTTCAACTGATGATACCCTGAGCGTAAATCGATTTTGGAAAACATTGCAGCTCCCTTGAGTTGGTCAAATAAATCATCAATTCTTGGAAGAGGATATTTGCTCTTTATGGTCACCTTGTTTTGTTGTCAATAATCAATACATGGGTACATCGAACCATCTTTCTTCTTTAAAAACAGCACTGGAGCACCCCAAGGTGACACGCTAGGTCTGATGAATCCTTTATCCAATAACTATTGCAACTGAGTCTTTAACTCACTCAGTTCCTTTGGGGCTATTCTATATGGAGCCACCGAAATTGGTGTCGTTCTAGGCAATACCTCAATTTGAAACTCGACCTCCCTATCTGGAGGTACTCCCGGCAACTCAGCTGGAAATACATCTGGAAATTCTCTGACCGACAAAATGTCCTCCAGTCCTCTCTCCTTGAATCGAGTATCGATCATATTGGCAATGAAAGCTTGACATCCTTGTAACATTAACTTCTTAGCCGACATCACAAATATTACATTAGCTAATCGATTAATTCTTTCACTGACCACCACTACTTCTGATCCATTAGAACTTCTCAAAACTACTCGTTTCAATCGACAGTCTATATTGGTATGGTAACGATACAACCAGTCTATTCCCAAAATAATTTCAAACTCGTCAAAGGGTAGTTCCATCATATTAGCAGGGAATTCAATTCCCTAAATCCTTATAGGACACCCTCGACACAACTGATTCACTCGAGCACTATGCCCTAATGGGTTAGCCACGATCACATCATTACTTATATCTTCTAATTGTATTTTCAATTCTCTTACCAACTTATTAAAGATATAAGAATAGGTTCATCCTAGATCAATCAAAACAAAAATAGATTTATCAAATAACTGAAAACTACCTATAATGATCTCTGGATCATCGCGATCTTCATTAGTCTTACGATTATAGACCCTAACAGTCGAGCGTATTTCAGGTTAATTGGTCGACTCAGACTGATTTATTCCTCTACCTCGTCCTCTACCTTTCTGTGGTACAGTAACATATCTCTCAGACTGTGCAAGCTCTCCAGTCATTAATGGGCAATCCCGGATAAAATATCGGGTGTCACCACATCTAAAACATGCTCCGGAGACCATTTGAAAAATGTCACTATGTTGTTTGCTAAAATATTGACATTGAATTGACTTTCCCGCTCCTAATTCCACTAATTGAGTCTGCCTAGCTCTTCTAAGATTAGACCCTCTACCTGAAGATGCAGCTAATTCAGATCTTGATTGAGGTCGAAAACCCGAACCTTGACCTTTCTTTAATTGTGATGCACTTGACGAGGCACCAGCTCTCTTGTTCCACTACGTCTTTTGCTCCCCAAATCTTTCATTATGAGCTCACTCTAAGGATTTAACCCAATTTACCGCCTCTTGAAAGGTAGAAAGATTCAATGCTAATAGTATCTACTTCAATCTGGAGTGTAAATCTCCTACAAACCAGTCACAAGAATCCTTTTTCGTAGGGACCAACTCCGCTATAAATCTACTCAGCTTGTTAAACTCGCACTCGTACTCATACACAGTGTGATTCCCTTACTTCAAACTCATGAATTCTTGCTTTATTTAACGTATGAACTGATCACGGATATACTTATTCTTGAACTCTTCCAAAAAGAATAGCCACATCACTTGATCTCTAAGTGCTCTCATTATCACAATAGTCCACCATATTCGTGCTTGTCCTCATAGCAATGTGATTACTCCATATAGTTTCTCCATTCCAGAACAATGGAGACGGTTTAGCATTATCTTCACATCATTTAACCAAAGGTCTGCAAAAACAGGACCTTCCTCAGCTTCTCCTCTAAACTCAAATGCTCCTAAACTCTTCAACTCTTTAGCTACATTCATTTTAGGAGATGGGGAATAGACGGTTGGAAACACGTTAAAATTTCATCCAACGTCCTAAAAAACAATCTCTGGTCTTGTACAGGCACTCCCTGAGACATCTGCTCCTCTTCTTGCTTAATTGGGGTAGGTGAATTACTACTTCCTTCATGTCCCTCTTCACTTCGGTAGCCCTCAAAATCCGACATGTATTAAGATATAATCACTATTCTATTAGTAAGGACATCATACTAATTACCTTATCAGATCAGAGATATTTAACTTTTAGTTGGCATGTACACTTTTTAAAACAAAAACGACTTTATTTCGAACTTAAAATCAGTTAAACTATGGCTTTGATATCAATAAATATAACACCCCCACCTATATCTGACCTGGATATGAATTAGAGGTGTCACATTAACTTTTCAAAACTTTGACTCTTGAAAAGTAATTGAAAATTTAATCTTTTATTTGAATTAAAGTGACAAAACCCTTATATTAAAGTAAATATTGAAAAGTCACAATCACATTGGAAATTTAATACTTAATAATTTACATAAATACAACATAGTATGTTTAAAAATGGATCAGAACATTACAATTTAAAACTTGGTAATATATGCCAACAAAATCACCAAAATATTAACAAGAACCTACATTTCAAATTGTTTTGATCTGATCTTCTACCGGAGTATGTTGTCCTCCTCTAGCCTTAATCCTCGTCTTTCTTTGAACCTATATGTGAAACATTCACAAGTTAAGTCGTTGACATAGTAAGGTAATAATGATCATAAAAGAAAACATTTAAAACCCATTTCTCATTCAATTCATATAAAACATTTCATACTGAAATCAGGATATATTTTATGATAAAACATATAAGGTTACTCGTTGTTCAATTTGTATCCTTTTATTAATTTAGCACAATACATAATATTGAGAACTCAAGGTATTAGAGTAAATTAAGGTTGTGCACTAATGTAGTCACCACTACTCATATAAATTGCACCAAAGTGCCATGTAGAATTTGTCTCGAATGACCGCATAGAATATGTCCTGAGACCACATAGAATGGTCCCGAAGGACCGCGTAGAACCCTCGACTCTTGGCATGGTAATTATACCTCTAATTCTCATACATATACATTGGGATTTAACTTTATAATTATTTTTCTTTTCATTATTTTAAGTGTGTCTTATTCGTATAGAGTAAATTCAGGAGGCACTTTCACATAGAACAGTTTTGTTTAGCACATATCCTTATAGAAGAATATCATATAAAACATAATCATATACATAAAGATCAAAACAATGCTTTCAAAATACACTTGAGATAAACATAATAAAATAAATAAACAGTTTTTGATCGATAACTTCGAGGTTGGCTTATCACAAGTCATCTTCAAATCCAATATAAAACAATTTAGTTGCACTCATCTTTGCCTCACGTAAATTCTAAGCGAATCCCTTTTAGCTTTCGCTAAATCTCTTTGCTCTATCGCTTTGATCGATACGCTTCTGATCCAAATCTACAGGTAGATATATCCAATATCAATACAACCTTAACATTAACGTATAACCAATTAGCATATACAAAAATGAAACTAAAACTCTCACTTAAATTTTAGACGCAATAATATCGATACCCCTCCTACAATACCGATACTTCTCTTCTATGGTACCGATACCCCCTTCAATATCGATATCATTTTGGAATTATTGAATTTCATACTTAATAATTGTAACACCCATTTCCAGTATATTTTTCCGTACACAAGTCATAAGTGTCACATGACTTATAAAAACATTTACTCATTTTTAACACCACTAAAATTTTTGTTTCGAATTTAAAACCAAACATTTTGATACAATAATAAAACATTCATTGAAATATATTACTAAAAACTATCACTTTAAAACCATTACAAAACATTTTTCTTAAATTCGATTACATGCCAACTAAGTTTCAAAATAAACATGATTGTCCTACTATTACTGACGAGTCAACCATCAATTGATGATAGTTATTACTACTGCACTCCTTACTCGGCTACTCTTTGACTTTTACCTACGCACAAAATCAACACACATTAAGTATTTACTTAGTAAGGCATAATATTGTAAATGAAATACAATTTATTCATAATAATGTGATGACTATCAACACCGAGGTAATTCATATACTTCGTGAAAACCCTTTACAATCTTTTTAGATAAACCAATAAGGGGCACCGTTTATGTCGAAATACACTATTTTTCATCTAACTTGCATTAGTGGCACCTTTCTACCAAATACACAATTATGCATTTAACCTTTCATCTAACCTGCATTTTTGGCACCTTTCTACCAAATGCACAGTTAGGCATATAACTTTTCATCTAACTTGCATTATTGGCACCTTTCTACCAAATGTACAATTAGGCATTTAACCTTTCATCTAACTTGTATTATTGGCACATTTCTTCCAAATGCACAGTTAGGCATTTAACCTTTCATTTAACTTGCATTATTGGCACCTTTTTGCCAAATGCACAGTTAGGCATTTAACTTTCCATCTAACTTGCATTATTGGCACATTCCTGTCAAGTATTTACTTAGTAAGGCATAATATTGTAAATGAAATACAATTTATTCATAATCATGTCATGATAATCAACACCGAGGTAATTTATATACTTCGTGAAAACCCTTTACAATCTTTTTAGTTAAACCAATAAGGGGCATCGTTTATGCCGAAATACACTATTTTTCATCTAACTTTCATTAGTGGCACCTTTCTGCCAAATGTACAGTTAGGCATTTAACATTTCATCTAACTTGCATTATTGGCACCTTTCTGCCAAATGCACAGTTAGGCATTTAACCTTTCATCTAACTTCCATTATTGGCACATTTCGTCCAAATTAACAGTTAGGCATTTAACCTTTCATCTAACTTGCATTATTGGAACCTTTCTGCCAAATCCACAGTTAGGCATTTAACCTTTCATTTTAAAGAAATTCCTACTCTAACAATTGTTCATAATATCTATTTCATACTCATTATAAACATCTATAAAATACAATAAAATCAACATTAAATTAAAACATTAGAGTTGACTCATGGTGAGTCTCCCTCATCCCATATAATTACAATAGATGCACTCACCAGATATGCCTCCCTAGTATATTGTAGGGATGTTCAACTACTCGGCAACTTTGTCCTTGCCCTTTTTCTTGCTTAACTCGTGCTTGGTTATGACTTACACAAGCATCTATTTTGTACACATACCAAACAAATGTTAGTATACGCTCTAACATTTATACTTTAATAATACTCAAAAGTACTATTATTTTCAATTTTTATTACAATTTCAGCCTATCTTACAATTACAGGCTCAATAATATCGGTACCCCTACCTTGGTATTGATACTTCTATACTATGGTACTGATACTCCCTTTCAGTATCGATACCATTTTTGCATTCTGGAATCCATGGTATCGATACCTTTCTTTTAGTATCGATACCCACATCAGTATCTATACTAATTGCATCAGTATCGATATTGTTCATCGTATTTGTACAAATTTAAAACTATAATATCGGTACTTTTCTATCAATACCGATACCCTTACCCAGATTTTCCATTTTGCAACTCAATGTTTACCCAAATTTGGTCAAATTCCCTTACTTTTACCTCCAACAATACTATATAACTCTTCTTTACTTATCTTAACTAACTTTCCTTCATTTAGCTTCTTATAGCATCTAAAATCTCCAAAGAACATCTCCAACCAAGAATCATACCACTTTTTCTAACATGTTTTTAATCCCATCCAATTCTTATCATCTATTATTTACTTCCTTGACAAGTTAAATATACTAATAAACCTCAATAAAAACTCATATTCCAACATATCATTCAAAAACTCATTTTCTTCAATCACAAATAAAACATTCATCTCTTAGTTTTAATTCTTCCTTAAACATCTATAACACTCAAGGTTTCAATAATAAACAAAAAAAGAAAAGAAAAACTAGTTAGATGAAGCTTACCTTTGGCTATGAATGAGAACACCTGAACACGGGAATAAGAAGAAGTGTGGATGACTTAGTTTGATTTCCACTTTCCCTTTTTTCCCTATTCTTAATCCCTAATAGAAATGAATTTTAAATTCATTTCCCTCTAAAGGACCAAAAAGCCCTTTCATTTTTCCATTCTTACTATTCGGTCTTACTTGAATCATTTCTTATACGTTACCATTTATTTAATTCAGTCCTCCAAAAAATAAATCCTTTTAAAATAGTCACTGACCTACTATTTAGGGTATTACAATTCTCCCCTTAATAAAAATTCATCCTCGAATTTAAAAAAAGTACCTGAAACGAAGAAGTGTGGATACTGCTTCCTCATGTCCTCCTCTCTTTCCCAAGTAGCTTCTTCCGCCTTATGATTCTGCCAGAGCACTTTAACTAAAGGAAACTTCTTATTACGCAATTCCTTGTTTTCTCTAGCCAAGATCCACACCGGTTCTTCCTCATAAGTTAAATCTGGTCGGATCTTTATTTCCTCTAGTGTGATAATGTGGGATGGATCTGATCGGTACCTTCGGAGCATCGACACGTGAAAGATATTGTGGATCTTGTCCATATCAGGAGGTAAAGTTAACTGAAATGCTACTATTTCGGCCCTTTTCAAGATCTCATAAAGTCCAATAAATATTGGACTCAGCTTTCCTTTGCACCCAACCTGCAATACTTTCTTCCAAGGCGATACTTTCATAAATACCTTGTCTCCCACTTGAAATTCAATTTCTTTTTTTTCAAATCAACATAAAATTTTTATGGATCAGATGTTATCTTTAAATTATCATGAATAATTTTCACTTTCTCCTCCATTTCTTTCATCAAATCCGGGCCAACTATGTCTCGATCATTTAGCTCAAACCAATTTAATGGTGTTTTGCACTTACTCCCATACAAAGCCTCATACAGGACCATCTTAATACTCGATTGGTAATTTTCTTTATAAGTAAATTTAGATAAAGGTAAATACCTTTCCCATGATCCTTTAAACTCAATCACACGTGCCTTTAGCAAATCCTCCAATATCTGAATAGTTTGTTCTGACTTCCCGTCTATCTGCAGATGAAAAGCTGTCCTGAAATTCAATCGAGAACCTAATGCCTCATGCAAGGAATTCTATAATCTTGAAGTAAACCTTGGGTCTCGATCGGACACTATCGGTATTGGCACTCCATGTAGTCAAACTATTTCTTTTACATACAACTTTGCATATTTATCCATAGAGTAATCTACCCGAATTGAAATAAAGTGAGTTGTCTTGGTCAATCTATCTACAATTACCCATATCGAGTCTTTTTTTACCTGGTGACAAAGGTAGCCCCGAAACAAAATCCATTGTAACTCATTCCCATTTCCACTCAGGAATGGATATCGGTTCTAGCAATCCAGATGACACTTGGTGTTCAGATTTCACTTGCTGATATGTCAAGCATCTCCCAACAAACTCTGATACAACTATTTTCATACCAGGCCACCAATATTGATTTTTTATATCCTGACACATTTTATTTCCACCTGGATGCATTGTCAAATAACTATAGCGTGCCTCAAAAACAATATTTTTCTTCAATTCATCAATATCGAGAATGCAAAGTCTGCCATGATAATATAAACATCCATCAGTCCTCATTTCGAAGTCTTTGACCTCTTCTTTTTCAACTTGCGCCCTTCTCGCCAAGCATTTGTCTTCTTGGCCTTGCAACTCTTTTACTCGATCTAAAAGAATCAGCTTCAACTTAAGTTCAGCAATCAACACATCATCTTTTTTTAAGGACATACGCACATCTAAGGCCCTTAATGAACAAAAGTTTTTCGGCTAGTTCATTTGCTCCCACATTAGTCTTTCTAGGATGATAGTCAATGATCATTTCATAATCTTTTAAAAGATCAATTCATCTTCTCTGCCTCAAATTCATCTCTTTTTGAGTCAGCATGTACTTTAAACTTTTATGATCCGTATAAATATGGCATCGTTCCTCGTACAGATAATGACGCCAAATTTTCAAAGCAAACACAACCGCTGCCAATTCCAAGTTATGTGTCGGGTAATTTCTCTTGTGGGTTTTTAACTGTCTTAAGGTATAAGCCACGATTTTTCCATCATCTATAAGCACACATCCCAACCCATTATGGGATGCATCACTAAAGACTACATAATATTTACTCGATTCAGGTTGTACAAGTATTGAGGCTTCTGTTACAATTCATTTTAGCCTTTCACAACTTTCTTGACATTTCCCTGACCAAACAAAAGGCAATCATTTCGTAAAAATTTAGTTAACGGCGAAGCTAACATTGAGAAGTTCTTCATGAATTATTTGTAGTAACCAGCAAGCCCCAAGAAACTTCAAATTTCAGGAACATTCTTTGGGGGGTTGCCAATCCACTATTTCTTGAATCTTTTTAGGATCAACACTTATGCCTTCTGCAGAGACTACATGACCAAGAAAAGCAATTTCAACTAAGCAAAATTCACACTTGGACAATTTAGCATTCAGCTTCTTTTCTCGAACTATCTGAAGAACCACTCGAAGATAGGCATCATGTTCCTCTCTTGACTTGGAATACACCAAAATATCATCTATAAATACCACCAGGAATTGATCCAAGTAAGGTTGGAATACTCGGTTCATCAAGTCCATAAATGTTGCATGAGCATTAGTCAATCCAAAAGGCATCACCACAAATTCGTAATTTCCATATCGAGTCCGAAAAGATGTTTTAGAAATATCAACCTCTTTGATCTTTAATTGGTGGTATCCTGACCTCAGGTCTATCTTAGAAACCATTGTTACGCCTTTCAATTGATCGAATAAATCAACAATCCTCATAAGAGGATACTTATTCTTTATCGTTACTTTGTTTAACTGATGGTAGTCGATGCATAATCGCATAGACCTATCATTCCTTTTCACAAAGAGCACAGGTGCTCCCCAAGGAGAAACACTAGGTCTCATAATTCCCTTATCGAGTAGCTTTTGCAATTGGGTTTTTAACTCTCTTAACTCTATTGGAGCCATTTAATATGGAGCCATAGAAACAGGTTCGATACCAGGGTAAATCTCAATCATGAATTCTACTTCATGGTCTGGAGGTAAACCCGATAATTCTTCCGGAAAAACCTCTGAAAACTCCTTAACTGTTGGGATATCATTTAATCTCGCTTCCAGTATTTGAGTATCTAACACATTAGCTAGGAAAGCTATACACCCCTTTGACATCATTTTCCTTACTGTCATGGTTGATATCACATTGAATGGTGATTTCGCTTTTTTCGCCGATCACTACTATTTTTTAGCCTTCCATATCTTTCAGAAATAATCGCTTTTGGTGACAAACGGCCCACCATGACATGGAGACAACCAATCCATGCACAAAATGATTTCAAATTCATCAAAAAATAACTCCATTAAGTTTGTCGGAAACACAATCCCTTGAATCTTTATTGGGCATTTTCTACATACTCGCGATACCTTTGTACTATAACCCATAGGGTTTACCACTATCATTTCACTAAATATTGGTCTTAATGTTATAAATACTGGTGACTCCTTGAGTTTCTTGGAGCTTCATTGATTCCGCTTGTCCCCTGGATCTACCCCTTCATCTGCTTCTATAATAGACTTCCACAGATCTTTTAGATTACGACGAATGGTCCCCAAATCTCTTACAATAGTTTCGAGGAAAGTGACCAGTCTCGCCACATTAGAAACAAGCTCCACTAAGAAGTCTGCATACTCCCTGGTGCACTATACCACATGTCTGACATAAATTTCTTTCTCCAACTGCTCTATCCGAGCTAGTACCAAAAGACTGGGACTGTTTTCTTTTCTGTGAAGCTACAGCAGAACCATCTCTGTCAGTATATCAGCAACTCGAGCCCTTTCCTCTCTTAATGTGATGGGGAGTTGAAGGTATTCCAACCCTTTTCCCCATCTACAAACTCTGCCCCTCTTTTAATGTCTTCTCTTGAGATCTTTCAATAGCCTTGGTTTGGTTTATAACTTCTTGCAAGCTAGGAAAACTCAAAGCCAACATCATCTCTTTCAACTTTTGCCTCAATCTCTCAATAAACTGATCCCGTCGAGTCTTGTCATTGGGAACCACCTCAGCAGCAAAACTACTCAACTTATTATACTCAGCCTTGTACTCATGTACTGCTCGGTTGCTTTGTTTCAGATTAAGGAACTTTATTAGCATCGCTCGTCTGAACTGCTCAGCAATATACTTATTGTTAAATTATTCCTTGAAGAACTGCTAGGTTAATTGTTTCAATGATGCATACATTATAGTATTTGACCACCACACTCGAGCTGATCCCCTTAGCAACGATACAATTCCACCCAGCTTCTCTGAATCCGAGTAGTGAAGACTTTCAAATATTATCATTACATCATTTAGCCATAAGTCAGTCTCCATAGGACCTTCATCCTTTTCTCCACGGAATTCGGGAGCTCCTAAACTCTTTAGCTCTTTTAAGATCAACATCCTCGGTACTGGAGGAGTAGCGGGAGGCGGATGAGGTTGAAATCAGGTCAGAATCGAGTCAAGAGCTTGCATAAAAGCTCCAAACTCATGCACTGGCATCCCCTAATGTGCAAAATGTTAGAGTATGCCCAAAGACCAATCATATGATGATTGTAATAATACATTTATTTACCGATTTTATTGAATAAAGGCATTGCCAATATTATTTTCAGTTATATGTATGTGTTTAACATAAACTGAAAGATAATAAAGTCCATTTAATGACATAATTGTTATTATTAAAAGATCCCTAGTCAAGTATTAATATAGGCATGGACAATAATAATACGCTTAAGACTAACATGTTATTGATTGATGACAACGAGTTGTCATTGACATAGAGATGTCAGAATTGATACATGATTACATTGTTAGAGAACAATGTATTGGATTGACCCACCATGAGCATATGTATTGGATTATTATGTGACAATCATAACATTGCTCATGGTTATAATTATATGTATGATCCTCAGACTTGAGATCAAAACTATCCCAACATATATTGTTGTATGTTTTGATACAGTTAAACAAGCTCTGTAACTGGTTGCTCTATAAAGACTGTTATTGAATATATCTCAATATATGTAGTGGGTGTGTATGATTAAGATAGGATTTGTCCTTCCTACATATAGGAAATATATCACAAGCCACTTGATTTAGTGAGACTAGAAACACATGGCCATGCTCGAATAATTTGATATGAGATATCACAAACTATTTGTTAATTAAAGACTACTCTAGATATCAAGAAACAATAGATGGGCTATACAAGTGTGACTATTCCATGACTTGTGTCTATTCTAGATATAAAGAACATAAGGATGTAATACATAAAAGAGTTAATCACCAAGATGATATGTCGAATCATATTTTCTTGTAACTTAGGTGACAATGATATATTACTAGATGTCACTCATTGTATGTAATTTTAGAATTGTTCTAATAATTACTGCTAACGTTACAAGAACCTACAGGGTCACACCCTAGGATTGAAATGAGCAAATATGTACAATTTGTTGTATGTTACTAAAATATATCTAAAGTTAAGATATGTATATTTGATATACATATGAATTTAATTATCCCGAATATATTAAGTAAGTATTAAAAGAAATTAATTTAGATTACAACTCTTTTAATTGATATATATATATATATATATAATTCAGAATAATTAAATAAGTTTTTTTTAAAAATAAACATTAAAGATTATAATTTTGATTATAAGTCTTTAATGTATATTTAAGTTGAATTAATTAAATAATATTTTAATTATTAATTCGAAATAACTTTAAAAATCCTAAGATGTTAGGGTAATGGATATAAAAAGGGTGTGTTAGGTCTAGCAGCCTTTTTACAACACACATAATTTTCAGCCGTTTTTCTCAAAACAGTTTTGGGAAAAACAAATATTGCTCTTAATCAGGTGAACTGAGTAGAGGCCGAGACGTGATTTCGTGGAGGCTTACGATCGAACCGATCGACACCATTATCAATCGTTGTCATCCTTGTTGTTTTTCAAGGAACCCGCTGTAAGTATTCGCATCCTTTCTCCCAATTTTGGTTTTACGTACTTGGATAACTGGTGATATCATCGAGTTTTGTTTTCGCTACGTCGTGGGGTACATTGACGGTCCCAACAGTGGTATCAGAGCCACTTGTACGATCTGAATTTGGGTTAAATTCTTGGTTGATGTGATATGTATGAATACATGTTCTAGTTTAATCATTTTCAGTAAATATGCATGATAACATTGTTCGAATCGATAACTGTAACGATTAATATGTTAATTTTTTAATCTGTTTTCAATCGATTTGCTGTTGCAAGGATTTTACGAAATCCATATGTCAATTGTTGACATGGTGTCCTTGTTCAATTTACAATGGTTTAAATTTAAAATACGGTCTGCGAGCCATGCCTTTCTATATCTCTGTTGTATTTCTCTTCTCATCTTACTCCCTCGTATGTAAAACGAATTTCTTTTAAAATTGTAATCCTATGAAGATTCACAAGGAGTAGAAGAATGGCGAGAAGATACGTAGAGAGCAGTCTTAGGCTTTAGGGTTTTTTGGTTCTCCCATTGGCTTGGGATAGGCCATCTTAGTCATTATTTTGGGCTATAACCATTGCATCTTATTTATTGCTATATCGATTATGTATGCAATGCAACAAATGATAAAATAAGAATGAATATTGATAAGATCAATAAAGGCCTAATATTAAAATGAACAATGATGAGATAATTGTGCAAATCCCTCTTTATAATCTAAGTTAACTTAACCATCCAATATTTACCCTCGTTAAGGCTTCGATCGATATTATGTGAGCTTTGCCAAAGCATTGGCACATAAATCTATTTTGGTTAAACGCGAAGAATAAGCAAGTGATATTCACCGATTGAGATATTGGTAATAACTTAGCTAGGTTATTCTAATAGGATTAGAAACCTAGAGGTTAAATATTTGGATAAGTCATGAGATGACTTGAACAAGAGTTGTTCACCAAAAGGAGGAGTTACATGAGATGTAACTACTAAACTGTTACTTACCTAAATGATCATTATCCTAAAAGAAAAACCAAAGATTATTTAGGAAATTGATGTATTATGGATCCTCACCCACTAGAAAAAATTTCGTTGAAATTTTTCGAAATTAAAACAGATAAGGTTTTTAATTTTGAATAAAATAGTGGGAGTAATTTGTAAATAAAGACCTATTTATAAATTTTAATTGGGTAAATTTACTTACTTTAATATTTCCATTATTGTAGATTTAATGGCAAACAACAATTTATCACTGCAATCACTCCTTGAGAAGGATAAACTTAATGGCATAAACTTCCTTGACTGGTTTCGTAATTTGAGAATTGTTCTCAAATAGGAAAGGAAGGAATATGTCATTGAAGAACCTGTTCCTGATGAACCGAAAGCTAATGCTTCAAGAGCTGACAAAGACAAATTCAAGAAATTAGATGTTGGATGTCTAATGCTTGCCACCATGACTCCTGAGCTTCAGAAGAAACATGAGGACATGGTTGCATATGAGATGATTCAAAATCTCAAATAAATATATGAAGAGAAAGCACGTCAAGAGAGATATGAGACCTCTAAAACTATTTTTCAATGCAAAATGGCAAAAGGAACTCATGTAGGATCTCATGTCATCAAGATGATGGGCTACATCCAAACGTTGGAAAAGTTGGGATTTCCTCTCAAAGATGAATTGGCTATCGATGTTATCCTACAATCATTTCCAGATAGCTTTAGCCAATTTTTTCTTAATTTCAACATGAATGAAATTAACAAGACTTTGCCACAGTTACTTGGCATGTTACGAACTGCTGAAAGTAACATGAAAAAGGTTGGACCTAAGCCAATTCTGATGGTCCACAAGGACAAAGGAAAGGGAAAGAAAAAGGTAGTGGCAAAGTCTAAGGGCAATGGTAAGGCCAAACCGAAAGGGAAAAATGCATTGAAACCCAAACGGGGAGTTATCAAGGAAGGAAAATGTTTTCGTTGCGATAAGACCGGACACTGGAAGAGAAACTGCCCTGTTTACCTTGAAGAGGTCAAGAAGGCAAAAGCAAACGGAACGTTTGATTCAGGTGTTTATGTTATTGATGTTAATTTTTCAACATCTACTTCTTGGGTATTAGATATCGATTGTGGTTCTCATAATTGTACTTTCGTACATGGATTGCAAAAGAGAAGAAATATGGCTAAAGGAGACGTAGACCTACGAGTGGGAAATAGAGCAAGAGTGGTTGCATTAGCTATAGGGACATATGTTTATCTTTATCTCGATAATGTTTTTTTTATGGTTCAGCACAATTGGTTAATGGTCTTTATATTTTGGATCAAGAAAACACCTTAGTGGACTTGATTTAAATTTAGAGGATTGTTATTTTATGCCTAGTTTGACTAAGAACATTATTTTTATTTCTTGTTTGGACTAGATTGGTTTTGAGATTATTATTAAGAATAATTGTTGTTATTTTTATCTCGATAATGTTTTTTTATGGTTCAGCACAATTGGTTAATGGTCTTTATATTTTGGATCAAGAAAACACCATTTATAACATATATACTAAGAGATCAAAAACAAATGACTCGAATCAAACGTATCTTTGGCATTATTGTTTAGGCCATATAAGTAGAAACGCATATCAAAACTCCATAGAGATGGAACCACCTGAAGGGGTCAAACCTATAGGGTGTCTGTGTTTAACATAAACTGAAAGATAATAAAGTCCATATAATGACATAATTGTTATTATTAAAAAATCCCTAGTCAAGTATTATTATGGGCATGGACAATAATAATACGCTTAAGACTAACATGTTATTGATTGATGACAACGAGTTGTCATTGACATAGAGATGTCAGAATTGATACATGATTACATTGTTAGAGAACAACATATTGGATTGACCCACCATAAGCATATGTCATGGATTATTATGTGACAGTCATAACATTGCTCATGGTGATAACTATATGTATGATCTTCAGACTTGATATCAATACTATCCCAACATATATTGTTGTATGTTTTGATGCATTTAAACAAGCTCCGTAATTGGTTTCTCTATAAAGACTGTTATTGAATATATCTCAATATATGTAGTGGGTGTGTATGATTAAGATAGGATTTGTCTTTCCTACATAATAGGAAATATATCACAGGACACTTGATTGAGTGAGACTAGAAACGCATGGACATGCTCGAATAAGTTGATATGAGTATCACAAACTATTCGTTAATTAAAGTCTACTCTAGATATCAAGAAACAATATATGGGCAATACAAGAGTGACTATTCCAAGACTTGTGCCTATTCTATATATAAAGGACAAAAGGATGTAATACATAAAAGAGTTAATCACCAAGATGATATGTTGAATCATATTTTCTTGTAACTTAGGCGACAATGATATATTGCTAGATGTCACTCATTG